AACAGCTGTTGAATAATTTAATGCAGAGTTTTGCAGAATGGTGACAAAGAGCCTTTTGCGTTGGTAGAATCGGCTGGGGAAAAATGAGTAAAGTATTTCCTGGTGAAAATACACACACAGACACATACACACAGACATAGAAAGACGCACACACATAGAGACACAAACACACACACAGACATACCGACAGACACACAGACATAGAAAGACACACACATACAGAGACAAACACACACACACAGGCATACATACACACATGTGGACACACATGTGGACACACATACAGACACACACACAGACAGACACAGATACCGTAGGGATTTGTTTTGAGTACGTGGAAACTACAGGTCATCTAGTGCATTTTTTTCTTTGTTTTTTTTTAATAGCAAATATAAATAAGAGAAAGCGGAAGTGTCAGCAGTTTCATCCTATATTTGTGGAAACTTCCGGAAGAATGATGAGCCTCCCCTTAGAGCCAAAATGCAGGAAATCCTCTCTAACCATTGAAAATGTAACTTTTCTGTCATTGATCCGAACCATTAAAAGATAAGGGAAGTAAAAATTTTGTATATCTTTTTCAAGGTATGATACTTTGTTACTAAGAGTAAGGTAGAGAGAAGGGTGGGGGGGGGGGTTCTTAAACACGTTAAAGAGCGCTAAAAATGGATTTACCTGCATGGATTCGATCCTATCGAAAAGTAAAGTAAAGTAAAGCTTCCCTTTCAAACCTCGGCATATGAAGAGATAGTGTGGTCAGCACTATGCCCAGCCGCCTTTACTTTCCCTAACGTGAGTTAGGTACCCATCAGGGTTGGGTGGACTCAGGAACGGTCTACTATCCTATAAATAGCGCTAAAAATAGATTTACCTGCATGGATTCGATCCTATCGAAAAACCGTTAGTTAAGTTCCGTATTCAAACCTGGCGGTATGGGGCAAGTGAAGTAGAGTTCATGTTTCTTGAACTCTGCGTATGAAGGGATAATGTAGTCAACACTATGCCCAGTCGCCTTAACGTCACCTAACGTGAGTTAACTAGGTGTCTACTCATCAAAGGTGGGTGGACTAAGGTACGCTTTCCCAACGAATTACCGTAAGCATATAAAAAAGGAAAGCAGCGTATTCTACTGAAACGTTAATTAAGGGGCGTATCTAGAGTTTCTGGTTCACATAAAACAAATATAATTCTGTCTTGCGTGATGTGATTGATAAAATAATTTTCAGCGGAAAAAAAAATTAATCTCAATTCTGGATACCAAACGAAATTTTTTTAAATTCCAGTTAAACTGGGTTAAAGGTTAATCAACGTCCATCACTGCCACTCCTTAAATACACATATACACATAAATTGTAAAGGGATGGAGTAGTCGAATGGTAGAGCACACAACTGCTCACTCAAAAGTCTCAAGTTCGAATCCGGTTTCAAGTACGTGGAACATGCCTGAGTCCACTCAGCTCTGATGGGTACCTAACTCATGTTAGGGAAAATAAAGGCGACTGAGCATAGTACTGACTACATTATCCATTCATATGCTGAGGTCGCAGAAAACAGGTGAATTCTACACGGACCGTCAAGATCGAAAGGAAACTTTACTCACACTTCAGCATTGAACTCCCACACTTACAGATTTCACACACATCTAAACAAAGACTATTTGCTTATATTGTCTACACTGGATTAGTCTAATTGGTCGTTCCAGTGGAATCTTTATAATCCAAAGCGTCATGTACTAACAAGCTACGAGCTTGTGGTATAGTTAACGCGACGACCATAACATCCACCATTCTAGTTCACGCATAAACTGTGTTCAACATTTAAAAACAAACTAAAATTCTTTCAACGTAAAAAAAAATAGCTATTTTTAGTACATTATGATAATTTTAATCTACGGGATAGATGTAATAGATCTACTGGGATTATTCGCTGCAGTGTGTTTGTGGGTATGGCGACACGGTTCACTGATCTTGGTCAAAACAGCGGAGGTAGTGGTTGTTTTTTGGTAGGTAGCGGTGTTTTACAACAATAGATATCACTGGAGATACGTATATCTATCTATATCTATCTATATATATATGGGCCTATATATATATATATATATATATATATATATATATATATATATATATATATATATATATATATATATATATATATATATATATATATATATAGGGGCCTATATATATATATATATATATATATATATATATATATATATATATATATATATATATATATATATATATATATATATATATATAATATATATATATATATATATATATATATATATATATATATATATATATATATACACACGCCTATAAATATATATTCAAGAGTAGTAACTAGATCCATCAACCCCATAGAATCACACCTCAAAAATTCCTCTCTGTTTTACTGACATAAGTGTTTCATTGATTGTGAGAGCTAGTTGCCTTTTGAAGCACAGAATAGTTTGAATAAAGGGCGTTGGCTACGAGTTGTCTTTGTATGGAACACATTGTGTGGGGAAAGAGTGTGTGTTGGTGTGCGGTTTTGTCTGAGTGTGGGAGAGAATGAGTGGGGGAGGATGTGTGTTGGTGTGTGTTTTTGTCTGAGTGTGAGACAGAAAGTGTGGGGGAGAGTACGTGCATGTGTGTTTGTGTGCGAGTGTGTAAATGTGTCGGTGTGTTACTTATAGTTATTGTCTGTGGGTCGGAATATGATAGTGTGTGTGTGTTGTATGTGTTTGTTTTGGTGTTAGAGAGAAGGAGGGAGAGTATGTGTGTGTTGGTTTATATTTATGCTAGTGAAAGCTCCAAATGGTTATCGCGATAAACCAAAACCCATAATACATGTTGTTATGATTAATCGACTATTTAGGGTTTGGCTCTATTATAACAACGAGTTAATTATTAAGTTAATGCACAGTACGGCACAGATTATCAATAGATATCCTTTTCTAAGCATAATAAATAATCACTGTTAAAAACAAAAAAACAGAAAAAAAAATTAAAAACTTAATTTGTATGGCTGTGAATTGTGTCCATACACATAACGCGACATGTTTTAAACTCAATTATGACATTGTTAAGTAATTTATCATAATTCACCATAAGCTTGGGCCGCTTTTGTCTATTTTTAGGGAGATAAAGCAACAACTGTTAAATTATTTAAATCAATACCGAGTCCAATTGTTTCACTATTGATTTTGTATAATTAAGCTCAATGTTTTCACGATGGTCTATTTAAACTTATAAATAAATGCTTTTCTACTAATGAAATTACTTGTATAATTATATATTTAAATGAAAAATAAACTGTTTATTATTATTAAAGGGTATAAACGATTCAAAAATAACACATTTAAAAAAAAAACGTCGAAAGAGTAGCCATACTTATAGGTTTTACAAGAGCGAAAAAAACGAAAACATTTGCTATAAATGCACATTAGGTCTAATTAATTTTAAAATGTTTTGTGTAGGCATATAATCTTTTCTTCCTCTTCGTTTTTAATTGCAATGTTGAATGGGATTTCCAACACAATTAGTGTCAACGTGTTATGCGCTTTATATTATAGGCCATTGACTCCGATTTCAGCCTGCTTTTCTTTTGGTATTTGCTGCTCACACTTTTGTCCATCCAAGAACAAACTATAAGACAGCAGCTGTTGGAGTTTTATGTCCCCGGCCATCGAGCCTCATCTGCCTGGGGGTTCGAACTCGGGACTTTTCTGTTTAACAACCATGATCTTTACCGACACGACCCCCTTATATATAACAAATAATTCTTATTTTAAAGAACGGGGGGGGGGGGGAGATTTAATTAGACCTACTACATAAGGAAGAGTATTAACACAAGAAGCGTAAAACTATTATACGCCTATATGTCATTATTTTTTTTAGGCATTCTGATTCCTAGCTAAATTTCAGACTTAGAAATTAAAAGAGACAAACTAGAAAAACAGCTGATGAAACTAATACATTCAACTTCAAGCAATGTGGTAAGTGTATTTTTTTTTTTAATGTTTAGCCTTTTTTTTTAAATTTGCTTCTATTATATTTTTTTTGTCTTTTGTATAATTTCTTTCCTTAATTCTACTATTATTATAAACTGTATACGTAAATATAATCCTCCACACAATTTTACACACGCAGTCCCCACTCCACACACTTTCCAACCCTCCCAGGTTTACATACGGTTATCGCTATCATCCCAAAGTAACCCTAACCAAAGCAAACATAAAATCTCACATTTGCAATTGCAAGTGGATAACGATAATTTTTATAACAAGTAACGGAGTTATTAAAATAATACGAAAAACCAAACAGATCTATATTTCGATAATTAAATAGTTAATAAACATACTAAGGATTACATGGTTTATAGATTTAGATCTTTAGATCTTCATTAAAGAAAACAGATCTATAAATAGTTAACATCAACTTGTATTAAATAATAACAGCAAATATTTTAAAATAACAACGCTTTTTAAAGTACTTAATGTAATATTTCATACTTAGGATCACAATGATAGAAGTCTAATCGTAGTCTAAAATACGTCAAACCAAGACCTCTTAGTGATTTGGTTTTTTTAAACAAATATCACAAACAAATAAGTTTGTTTCTCTGTACTGTTTGCTAACAACAACACATAAATCTACTTTTTTAAAATATTGCTCTGTGATACTTAGATTTAGAAATTTAAATATATTAAATATAGATCTAAACACAACTCTGTCTAATAATTAGAAAATTAACACATTTTAAAAAAAGCTTTTTTTTTCTAGATCTAGACCTAGATCTATAAATATTTACTGTCAAAAAAATGTTTTTGTCTAAAAGAATAGTAAAATGAGTGATCAAGTTTTATTCCAAAACAGCATTAGATCTAGATCTAGAATCTAGATCCAGATCTAGACTAGATCTAGATAATCTAGAGATAGGCTACTACTATGCTAAACATAAACACTAACAACACATAACAGCCAATCGTTAACACATTACTGGGACATTACCTTATTATTTACACACGTTGATAACTCCAATTAGTCTAACCGGTGTGTTGATAGAAAGAAAAAAAACCACCTTGAATAAATTCACTTTTTTAATTAAGTCCGACACTGAAAGAAATAAGCAACCGACCCTCGTCTCGGCCGCAGACACAACAACTTTATTTGCAGACGGTAGACTCGTCACAGGCCAGACGACACGGCTGACGTGAAATCACCCGCGGACTGTTGGCTAGACTGCAAGTTCAAATCGGCTCTAGATTCGGATATGAGCTTCAAACCAACACAGAGAGAAGTTGAACGATTTTTCTTTTTAAATATGTAGATGTATAGATTTTGATTTTTTTTTTAACTTCACGGTTTGTATAGAAAATCTTCGTGGTACTAGGGACGTCCAATGCTACGAAGTGAGTTAGAGACTACTTCGATTTAGTTTGTTTGAAAATGTCAATCTGGTAGCTTAGGCCCCGCCCCACATGTGACGTCTATCGCTGAAACCGTAGCACCGGGTGGCGCACGCGACTTGTCAAGCGCGGCTTGTGGAGACAGATCCGGTGTCGACTTGTCACTTGCACCCCAGTAGATTTGTTCCGCCCATATTTTTTTTTTCTTCCCAATATTGAATCGTTGGTGATGGGATGGCCGGACAGGCGGTGGCAATATAGTTGGAGGAATGGCAGTGGGAAATGGGGCATGATGGAGGGTGGGGGAGCGGAGGGGGGATAGTGGGGGAGGGGGGTAGAGAGATGCTGGGGTGAGGGAGGAAAGTGAGTGAGGGATGAGATAGAATGTGGGAGGGGGTGAGGTAGGTGGTTTAGTAAGTGAAATGAGGGAGGGTATTTATCTAGAAAAAGTGTGTAGAGCAGTTTCTTGTCGTCCCCATCCCTAATATAGACTAATTTTTTTTAACCAGTTTTCGCCATCCCCCACCGGAAAATTTAGCAACCCCCCCCCCCCACTCCATCGGAGAAGAAAATTGAAAGTGTAGAAGAGGGTGTAGAAACGATGGGATGGGTTATAGTGAGTGGTGAATGAGGAGGGGGGGGGGGGGGTAGAAAAATAGATAATCGTCCAGATCATTGTCCAGATCATTGTCCAGATCATTGTCCAGATCATTGTCCAGATCATTGTCCAGATCATTGTCCAGTTCATTGTCCAGATCATTGTCCAGATCATTGTCCAGATCATTGTCCAGACCAATGTCCAGTTCATTGTCCAGATCATTGTCCAGACCAATGTCCAGTTCATTGTCCAGATCATTGTCCAGATCATTGTCCAGAGTCATATACAAACCAATGTTCAGAACAATGTCCATATAAATGTCCAGATCAGTGTCTAGATTAACGTTGAGATCAATGTCTAGATCTAGTACAGCTCAATGTCCAGATTAATGCCCGTATACAGTCCTGACCAATGTCCAAATCAATGTCCATATCAATGTCCAATTTAATGTCCTGATCAATGTCCGAAGTCCGAATCAATGTCCATATCAATGTCTACCCCCCCCCCCCCTGAACGAAATTAAATTTATATAGAAAAATATACTTTTACGAGCGTCCGCCGCCCCGAAAAATATTGTCCACCTCCTCCTCCCCCCCCCCCCCCCCGCGCCCCCTCACCCCGGAGATAAAAGCCTGGAAGAAACAATGCATTTCTCTTCATCTGTCCTTGTTCCTCAGATAGCACGTTGGTTGAGGTTTCGGTTAAAGCTAAGGTTATGACGGCGTCGCTAACAGTGTTTCTTCCATACTTTTTTCTCCGGGGGGGGGGGGGCACTTGAAATTTTCGGGGGGGGGGGGGCGGTAGACTTTATTCGGGCCGCCCCCCCCCCCCGAAGATATGCCTGGAAGAAACTCTGGTCGCTAACAAAAGGAAGTTAACAGATTTCTTCCCATGTACGGTGTGGTCGTATGGTAGAGTGAACGACTACTAACCCAGCAGTCTAGAGTTCGTATCCCGGACTATCTGTTCATAGGTGAACTTTGCTTTGTCTCCCCCGTGTGCCGTATACATTACACCAACTATGCTGATCTATTCAATTTGGTTGTTTTTGTTTTATTACTATTCTTTTGTTTTTTTTCTTTGGGTCTTGCTCAGAGTTTGATTCAGGCATCGCATCCAATTGGGGGTGGGGGGAGGAAGGGAGGGTTGTGCAAGTTGACCGTCCGACAACGCAAAAAAAAAGATTTTTTAAAAGAAAATCTATAGTTTAGCCACCTTGTTATGATGCAATTTCTCAATATAGGTTGGTGGCAGAGGCGTAGCGAGGGTGGGGCGGGGGTGCGGGCCGCACCGGGTGGACACCATTTAGGGGGGGGGGGTGGACACCGAGACAAAAAATTGCAAAATTTTCAGAAGAAAAATTATTTTTTGCCTGTCCGTTTAATAATTGTAAGTACAAATTTAGTAATTTAGAGAGATATATAGATATAAACTTTGTCTCTTGGGGTAGGGGGGGGGGGGAGGTGACACCACAAAGTGCCGCACCGGGTGACACCCCAACCTAGCGACGCCACTGGGTTGGTGCGAGTCAATATTGGTTGCGCACGTATGTTGAACGAATGAAGATGTGTCGTCTAGATGTGTAATGGCACAATGACTGTCTATGGTGTCTGAGGATCTCGCACTATAGTGAAACGAGTGGTTCCACTCTCTCACAGTCGCCAGCCCCCCCCCCCCCCCCCCAAGTGTCCCAGCCATTCCCGCAAGAGAAATGTGTATGAAAGAAACACCAGTCTTTGGTCGTCAGCGACTGAGTGTGGTCACTGTCATATCCAGTTGCTTTTATGTTTCTCGTATACGAAGTATGTCTATATCCCGAGTTGCCATCCCCGTTGGGTTATATAAGAATATTCGAGAAAGTTTAGGGAAAATCTCTCCCGCTTTATTGTTCAAAGATTCCGTCCTCAGCTCATCGTTGATTTGTTCGCACCCACAATAGGGCTGGTAGTAGGTCATCAACCAGTTATACGGCTCAATAAAACCTGCATGAGCCATACAGCTGGTTGGTGACCTACTTACCAGCCCTATTCCTCGTAGATGCTGGTACTCACACAGAAGTCTGTTTTGATTTTCTGTAACGTTGTCTTTGTTGATTGTGGCAAGGGGGTCATTCATAAATGACGACACGCTTTTTTTTCGACGATTTTTACCTCCCCACCTACCGTCACACATCGTCACAAAAAGCCAGACCCCCCATAAAATGACGTCACACTTCAGCCCACAACACCCCCCCCCCCGCCAGTCAAAATTGTCCTTGAATTTTTCTTAAAACATCGATGTTTTTTTTTCCAAAAATCTTGTCTGAACTCTTGTCAACATAGAGTATTTTAATCGATTCCTATTAAAATTTATTTTAAAAAGTTTTCTAAAACGCGAAATAACGACAAAAACGCGTTTTCTAACATTGCTTTTTTATAATGCAAAAGTGTGACGTCACACCATCAGACCTCACCGGGGGCCAAACATATTGGGGTGGGGGGGGGGGGGGGCGAACGGGGTTTAAAAAAAAGTCCCAAAGCTTATTTTGAGCTGCATTACTAAATTATACACAGTCGATTATGGAAAAAAAAATAGACCATTACTCGGCTTTACGGGCCTATTTAACTGATATTAACCACAAAAACCATAAAGGTTAAAAAGTGCCACAGATCTTTCCTAACGGGGGGGGGGGGGCGGGGGGGGGGGGGGGGGGGGGGGGGCGTTTTGCCAATGCCAATGTGAACACCTTTACACGTGAGAAAGGGGGGGGGGGTAAAAGTGATAGGTTGCCCCAGTGCCGGAATGGGTCGCTACGCCTCTGAAGAGAGTTGACAAAACATGGTCAGATGGAGAGATGTAGCTGCAGCTCTTTGCTCCTCATGGCTTCAGGGTCATTTAGGCTAGTAGTAGAAAATACTTTAATTTTTACATAATCAACGAATCAATTAATCCCAAACTCATTTTTATTTAGCTGTGAGAATAAAGCGGGAGTCATCTCCCGTAAACATGTATCCATCAGAAACAGTACTTAAGTTATAGGCTTTAAAAAAAAAGTAGGTATAAGTTTCACTTCCGGTTACCGGAAAATCGCTAAAAAGTTGATACAGAAATACAAGTTTGATGTAATAGTTATATATGAAATTTCATCAACCTAGCTGTAGCTCAATTTACCGTGTTCACGGACACACACACATATACACACATACACACACACGGACAAAATTGTGAAACTATGTTTTTTTCGACTTACGGAGGTGTAAAACGTCGAGATTTGTGAAAATCTAAATTTCCAATTTTTTACACAATTACAATACTTCCTCTTTATTTCGTGTACGAGAAAGAAAAAAATGTGGCAATTTTCAAAAAAACTGTATTGACAGAGCCAAAGTTATAATTACATTTTATTTAAAATACGTTTTTTTTTAGATTTAAAACAGTCATCTTTTTTTTTTAGCAAAAAGACGATTCTAATGCGTTGACATAAATTAAAATCTATATTTTACTGTCAAACACAACAAATAAAATGATAATTTGTTGGGTTTTTTTTTTTTAAATTAATTCCGAAAACAATTTTTTTTTCTTTGCCATAAATATTATAAATGATATTTAAATGTGAATTTATGGTTAAAAATGTTCCTACTTCCTCCTTTCTTCATGCATAACACACTGCAGCAACCCATTTGTCCATCAATATAATAAAAAAAGTCAAAGTCTAGACTGGACACAATAATACAGCATATGGTGTTTTCAAAAAACGGTTATACTAATCATATAACTTCCACAATAACTCTCTAAAACAGTCTCCCATTTTCATGCAAATATTTGATTCAATTTTTTCATGCAACACATGAGGGGAGGTTTAATAATATCAGCCTCAAATTTGTTGAAATAAGTTTAAAAAAATAAAAACTTAAAATTCAATTAGCCTAATAAGATCCGACTTACGTAAAAAAAAAATGGTTCGAACAAAGGCCTTCATCAGATGTCAAGCGTTGTTGTGCCCGTATGCCAGAGGATTTGTTTCATATTTGCGATAGATTAAGATCCGCTGCTTTTAATTTTCAATCGCGAAATCGTAAGCGTGGGTAGTTTTTATACCAAGCATTTGTTTTTTTTAATGGTTATAATTTTTTATCTGGCACTGAACGAAACGTCAAGTTAACCGTTGATAAGATCAATGCTGACAAAATGACGCCGGGAAAATATTGGTACACAATTCACTAGTAGCCAGCCCATCGAAAATATACAATGATTTTTTCAATGTCAGAGACGTATTTAAAAACAATTATTTTGGTTGTTAAGTAAAGGACAAACGTACTCTAAAGTAAATAAGTATTAATTTAGAAAAAGCTCTACGAATCTGTAAAATACACATTCACACACACACACACATATATATATATAC